CCCACCCCTGACGATTCAGACCTACTTATTTAATGTGAAGTTGCCCCACCGTCCTCTTTGTTCATTGGTGAAGTTGCCCCTCCGTCCTCTTTGTTCATTGGTGAAGTTGCCCCTCCGTCCTCTTTGTTCATTGGTGAAGTTGCCCCTCCGTCCTCTTTTTTTTTTTTTATTGGTGAAGTTGCCCCTCCGTCCTCTTTGTTCTTCGGTGAAGTTGCCCCACCGTCCTCTTTGTTCTTCGGTGTAGTTGCCCCACCGTCCTCTTTGTTCTTCGGTGAAGTTGCCCCTCCATTAGTAGTGCATGTATCTCTTTTCTCAGTGTCATTCCTCTCGTCTGTTTGCCTGCCTTCTCCCGCACCTGTCTGTCTGTCCAGCTGTCCCTTTGCCTGTCTGAGATCCCCATCTATTCCCATGTGGAGGATGAGGGGTTAGAAGTCAGGCGGATTAACCAGCAGTTTTATTTGGCCAGCCTGCAGAAAGAAGGCTTTGTTTGTGGGGGTTTTTTCTTCTTCTTTGCCCTCCCTGCGTTGCTGATGCAGGCAGACGGGCAGGTGGGCGGGGGCAGATAGGGTATTCTAACCGTTGTATCGCATGTGACACACACGCAAGCACACGTGCTTTTAGATGTTCAACTTCTCTGCGCAGACCTGGGTCTCACAGCTATCTAGCTTGATAAGTCGGTGGTTTGATTATGCTGAAGGGAGTTAGCATGTCTGTGACAGGTACAGATTGTTGTTGTTGTTTTTTTTCTTCTTCATCATGTCATTCACCTCTAGGTACTGCAGAGGGTTGGGGGTGGGGCCAGACCATATTTCAGCTAACAAGACTGCCGACTGCTTCAGTGAAGCAGATTAACTGGCTTCATTGGCTGAGAGAAACAGAGGTGCAGTTTTAACTGGTCCAGATCAGTGCTTGACCTCAGGCGTATCGTACAGTGTGGTGATGCACAGGATATAGAAGCATGTTCTCTACACTCCACTTGTGCTGTCTGGGTGCATGAACAGACACATGGCTGCCCAGTACTGAATGCTAAAGGCTGTGTCCTGCAAGGGTCTCTATCTGCTCAATAGCAGATCAGCTAAAGTCGGGTGGTCTTTGTTCCCCCCCCCCACCCCTTCTTTAAATGCTGATGCCTTTCACGATCCTGGATGCCTCTGGGGCGGAGTGGCAGGGTAAGGGGAGGGGGGCGGGCGAATGCAGACAGGGTTCGTATCCATGACGACAGCTTCTGCCAGCCGTTCGATGCCTCGCTCCTATTGGTGGAAGGGTGTTGAGGGGAAAGGCAGGGAGGGGAGGGGCAGAAGCGGACGACCCCGTTTTTCCTCCGGGGACCGTGTGGCCCGCTCAAGTTCATGTACCGAATTAGCATAAAGGGGGTGGATGGGCAGGCTGTGCGTGTGTCCTCCTAGGTCCTAATGCCCCTCCAGTTTATAGGCCAGCCATTAGCCCTAAGGCTTGTGCTGCCATTAGTATTGTCTGGCTGCTGTTATGAATGGTTATCTTGGCTGTGGTGGTCTGTATTTTTCTGGAGTGGTGGTAGTGTTTGCACATATTATGCCTTCTGCCATGGTTCCATGGGTGTCCGGCCCGGATAGGCTAGTGGTCAAAGAATTAACTTTCTAAATATAAATTCTGAGGTTGGTCTTTAAAACATTCTCAACCAGAATGAGTTTCATTTATGTGAAGCGGGCTTTTCATTTCATTTACAAATTATAAACGTGGTGCGTATTTCGTCTTTGGCACAGTCTCTAATCAGTGAAGTCTTCCTCTGTCTCCAGTCAGTTTTTCCTTTTTGAATATACTGGCCAAATGCAAGCATCATCCAGACGCTTGCTGGGTGGCACTGGTCACATGACCTGGCAGTCTCACTAATGTGAAGCTTAAGTCTTACTGTGAGAACAAGTGGGACTTTTCTGGTACAATCTGCTTGGGGCTAATTCAGTCCAGTTTGCTCCCATTTTAGATTAGTGTGCAGTACTCTGGAGAACTGGCTTGGAGAGGATGCTGTCTGGGGGGGGGGGGGGGGCCTGAGATGCCAAAATTCCTGCCAGTCTTGGAGAGCAGGGTGGGGTCCTACCTGAGACTGGCCATCAGTGGCCATCAGTGGCCATCAGTGGCTGGATCTCAGCTGTTCAATGCCGGCCGGTGTCTCTCTGTCGGTGAATTGTCTCTCCCCTGCTTGCGGAGACTTCAGCCAGGCCACACTCCACGTGGGTACGTTGCGAGACCCCCGTTCAGAGGGAAACCAGAACCTCTCCCCCAGTTTCGTGTGTGTGGAGCAGAGATCTCGCTGGGAATGGGGATGGATCAGCGGTGGGGAGGTTGGAAAAGCAGAGAACCTGAGACCGTTGCTGAGGCATAAATGTAATAGGCTGGGTTATGGACAGTCAGTGGCTTAGTAGTAGAAGTTTGTGCAGATGATGCGTGGGTGGAGAAGGCTGAGCTGCAGACGCACCGCTTGGGTACCTGGGCTGCTGAGCGACTGCGCAGTCAGCCCTGCATGTTCACTGGAACCTGTCGTTTGGTGCTGTGCAGCTGAGCCTGTCTGGCAGAATCTGCACCGTGCTGAACTGGGGTATCAGGAGCTCGATGGCTACAGGCCTTCTGTTGTTGTTGTTGTTGTTGTGTTTTTTTTTTCTAGAACGGAAATTCCATAACGATTTACAGTAACTGCACCTTCATAATGCATTCAGTATGCATCTATAGATGCATGCATAGCAGCATGTAAGTATGCCTTAACATGTCTTAAAGAATTTAATTCCTAATACTTTCAGTAAACAAAATGACAGCTGCAATATTCACTAACAAAGAAACATTGTATCATTATGTAATATGTTTGTTATTAATGTACATTAAAGATGTTATGGTACGTTAGGATGTTAAGGTATTCTTGATTGCAGCTTATGAATGTATTATGAAGGTGCACTGAATGTTTCATAAAGGCATTATGAAGGTGAAGCTAATGTAATGCATTACTGGGAAATTCTTCCAGTAGATCTTGTGGCTCTAAGGTGTTTTCTAAGGAACCTAATCAGGATTTTGGGCCTAGAGTTCTCACTGTGTGGGCTGTTCTGTCACTGGTGTCTGGAAGCTCGTGTTCGTTTCGGGAGATATCCTGTGGGGCACGTTGGTTCACATTGAAAGATGCCAGTAAAGTGAATTTGTGGGTATGATGGTGCGTGTTTCTTGTCACTTGAGCACATGACTTTGACAGCCTATCATTGTGTTTAATCAGCATGTAGTCTGCAGCCCCTGGTGGTGTTTACAAGAAGGGTGCAGGGCTTTGTCACATGACCTTTGTCACGTGACTGCACAGGTGACCCATATAAGCTGCTACCATGTAGCGTTTAGCATAGCAGTCCTTTGCAGTTCCTGGGAATCGTTTCCAAAGTAGTAATGACCTAATTCATGGTTTTATTCCTCTGTATTCACGGGTGGGGTTTGTTGTTCAAACAGTCCGGGGGCTTGAGCAGGCCATTAAAACCTGTGCATGTTTAGATTATTGGACCCCAGTTACATGTCCTATTGCGCATANCCCCCCCCCCCCCCGCCCTTCTCCATTAAGTTGAGTGGGAGGGGCACTTAATAGTGTAGTGATGCTAATTCACTTGATGTAGTAGCCTGTGATGGGCAGCAAGAAGTGGGGGTGAGGGAAGACTATACTCTGGTACCCACGTTGGGTTCATGGAGCGTAGTGTGAGTTGGAAAGAAGCGACATGACGGCGTTGTAGGCCTGCTAACCCGCGTCCTGCTTTTCGCGCCTTTTCAGAAGTGGTATAACGTGGAGGGAGGAGTGGCCTTCAGTGAACGTCGGCAGACACACACTGGCGTCATTGTAAATGAGTCAATGCAGCCTGTGTTTAAGGGGTTAAGTGTGGTAGTCGAGGCTGCATGTGATTGGAGGCCACTGACTTCTTAACCCCCCCCCCCCCACGCCTGGTAGATGACTGACAGCCTGAGGGTTTAATGGGCACCGGGGAGAGAACAGAGGTTGGGGTTGTCATAGAAACAAGGCGACCTGGGGAGTTTGTGGGGAGAGGGGTTTCTCTGGCTGTACTGTAGTATTCCTGTTGAATCTCCGCTGCTGTAGCCCTTGTAGTCTGAGCCTCAGGGCAGAAGCTTCCCTTCCAGCCTCCCTGATCCAGCCGTGACCCACCCTCCCCATCCTGTGTGATCCCATCAGCTGTGCCCATGTTTACTTGGGTCTCTGTGGTGGCCGCAGCCCAGCGTTCCGCTCCGAGCCAAACAGGGTGGGGTGTTAATGTCGATATTGCATGTTATGCACACGCAGTTGTCGCGACGCAAGAACAGCGATAGCTGCGTTAAGACAGTGTTGCACTAGAACATTTTCACTCTGCCATAGAAAACAAAACTCGATCGTTTTCCAGATTATTGCTGGACTCGCTCGTGGACAAAAACTGGTCGCCAAAAGAGATCCATCTTCCGCTGTGTGGAAATATTTTGGATTTTGCATAAAGATAATATTGATCAAGAGCAAGTGATTTGTTGGCTTCACTTTGTCTGTTAGCACAACTCATGGCAACACCACCAACTTTTTCAATAAAGTGGTAGATAATGAGTTTGGTTTGCCTGTGGGTTATTTCTGGGAATTTTCAGCTCCTTTTTTTGTTTTATCGTAACACTGATTGCTAAAATTTGAAATGGTAATCCATTTCTTTTTCCCGTTTATATTGTTTTGGGTCATTTGTAAATGTTTGAGTGAGCCCAGAAGGTGCGGGTGGATGGGTTTCTGTCTGTTAGCTGGTCACATGGTCAGGTTGCGGAGCGGTGGGCGGGACTAGATATTTCCTGATATGCAGGCGGACTGTATGCCCTGCTCAGTGCTGGATTTATTCAATAGCATTTCCTGCCAAGCTCTGTGTGTTGGCTGTTGGTGTTCCTTCCACTGCTCAGTGCTGCCCCCTGTCTGATTTTAGCTGTACTTGTATGTGCTGTGTGTGCTTCCTGGTTTTTGACCACCTGTATGTGTCTGTTTGCTGCAGAGTGCGGCTGCTGCCCCCAGCCCGGTGATGGGCAACATGCCTCCCAATGACGGCATGCCAGGTGGTCCGATGCCCCCCGGCTTTTTCCAGGTAAGAACGCCCCCCCCCGCTTTCTCTGAACCTTGCTGTGATGTGGTGATGTGGAGATGTGGAGCTGAGGCCTCTTAACCGGGGTCTTCGGCCGGTGGGACGAGGGTACAACAGCATTTACTTTCCGGTATTACTGAAAGCCAAATCTTACCATAGAAATATTATTGTTCATCTTCAGAAACTTTCTCCTTTGAAAATTCCATTATATTCAGTTCTATATTAGTTGTGTGCTGCATAATGACATCTCAGTCAACAACGGGCCGCATATCCCATTATACTGTGATGGAGCTGAAAAAAATCCTATCTCATAATGATGTCATAGCTGTCGTGACATCATAGTGCAATGCACCACTCGTGTGTTTGTGGTGATGCTGGTGTGAACATACCCGCTGCACTGCCAGTCTTGCATGTGCTATACTTTTATAATTATGTACAGTACATAATACTTTAAAATTACTCTTACTGGTTTATGCATTTACTATACTGTATTGTTTTATCGCTATTTTAGAGTGTACTCTTTCTAAAAAATACTTTAGCATGTAGTGTGCTATACCATCTAGGTTTGTGTAAGTACACTTTATGATGTTTGTGCAATGACGAAATCGCCGAACGCGCATTTTTCAGAATGTATCCCAGTCATGATGCGTGACAGCATATTATTAAGTGAAGAAGTCTGCTTGTGCACTTGTGAAAATGGGCTACAAACGTGGCTTGATTTTACAAACAAAATTTACATCAGAAAACATATATCAGGGTTGTAATTTTAAAACTCAATTAATAATGTTTAAGAACTGTTTCACTGCACTGACTCTCGGGGGGTGAAGTGTGTTTGGGGCCAATTTTTGTCTCCTGTTGGGGTTGATGAAATGAGCTGTGATAGACCTGTAAGACACCTAAATTTAATTCTGCACCACATGTCTGTTAGCAAAAAATAATCTGTCTTCCTGATAGCTGCTTCTACCTCTGCATGAACTTTGTCGTAGTAACTCAGGATGCCAATTTTTGCAGAGTACTTGCTGCTGGGGATCCCATATTAATGCTCAAACGTGTTAAGCATATCTTAGAAGCTTTCTCTAGTGTGTAAAAACACCAATTCTTTTGCATCCCTTCCAAGTTGAACTCCTGTTTGTGTTTGGTCCTTTTTTGCAAACACTTTGATGTTTGCCCGTGTCTGAGTGTCTTGTGTGCTGCCCAATGGAAACATCTGGTGCCGAATCTGGAGGTGAAGTAGCCTTGCTCATCCTAGCAGATTGCCGCGTGACGAACTCGTAGGTGAGAGTAAGGATTTGTGCTGTTGTCGTCCTCCGTTATGTCTTTTCAGCAGATGCAGCATGTGACTTTATTTAAATTTGCAGGTTTCTCATTCACATTCGACTGGAAACCAAAAAAGCTGCCAAATAAGTGCTCTTATTTACAACCATGTCGCTCGCGTTTGCCGTCCAGGTTGTCGGGCTCGTTGCTGCACTCATTAACGAAGTGACTGTGCATTTATTGGTTACCTTTCTCGAGCGTTTATAGTGGGATTTTTGGTGTCAAACACAAATTCAGAATTAAGTGGCAAAGATCACTTTCATTTGTAATGAAAAAATATTGTGCATCCAGGCTGCTGATATTGTCACATCGCCCAAGCCTAGGTGGGAAAATGTCACTTTGAATGAGAAGAGGAGGGTCTGATCATCTTAATTACCCTTGTCCTCACCCTTAGTAGAGAAGGATTCCCTCTGCTGTCTGCCTGTCAGTGGTTTTTGTTTGTGTATAATTATTCCTGACGTTACGGCGTTACTCCTGGAACACAGTAGATGTTTAATGTTTTGAGGGCATGGGGATGTTGGGGTTGAGTCTATCACTTTTCATGAATAGTGTTTTTATTTTATGTTGAGATGCAGTGGGGGGGTTGTCAAGAGGTTATGCTTGTGTTTGTTTGGAGGTGGGGGTGTGAAATCACTGTGGAAATCCTCTCACTGCCTTAGAACGAGCAAGGTAAAATAAGCTAGCTGTGTATATTCTGCCCTCCCTCCCATTTCTCCATCACTGCCCCCCACTGCCAGGCTAGACCGAGTGCAGTGTTCTGGTGGGCTGGAATGGCCTTCATTTTCGGCTCTGGCAGCTGGTGTCGCCTCGCCGCCTGGGCAGTGTCAGGCCTGCAGGATGCCGGGAGCGCGGAGTATCTGGCTTGGCCGTGGATTTCTGTCCCGCACTGTGTGAGGCGGCCATTTTGCGTACGTGCGAGAGAGACTGGCGACGTTTCGGAGGGTCGCCGACTCGCACGCCAAGCAGACCTACTTCCGAGGCCGCAGGCTCTGGCTGCCTCGGATGGGCTGGCTGGCGGGTGCTGCTCCTCCAGCGAGGCTGGGGTCTGCCCCGTGGCCCCTGCACAGTGGGACAGTCCCCACTGGAGCCAGCCAGCCTGGTGGCATCCTTACGAGATGCCTGAACCACCTTAGCTGACTCCTCTTGGTCTCAAGGAATAGCAGTTCTATTTTGAGATCTCTCTAGATCTTTGAATTCACAGAGAGACCCCGCAGAGAGTCCTCATTTCACCTGCCTGTATGGTAGCTCCCATGGCTGTGACCGTGCAGCATATAGCCAGATTTTTCTGCTAAACATTTGGCCCGGTGGCTTCAGGTCGACGGAGCTGTGGAAGCTGATGGGCGTGTTTATGTTGCGGCTGCCCACACGCCCGCATGTGTACGGGTTGCTGTCTTCACACACTTCAGGTGGCATGTCACTGCAGACTAGAGCAGTTCTCGCCGGCTATCGCTGCCGTTGAATCGGAAACTGCAGGCTTTTCGTGGGTCTCTAGGGGGCGCCGATGTAGCTCCCAGGCCAAGTGAATGCTTACAAGTGCCTAGTCTGAACTGCCTGACGAAATGAATCACGGTTCGGCCAGAAAACTCTAATATGAGCCGTTTTTAAGACTCCGCTTGAGTTGTCTGAAGCAACAGGAATAACGTGCACCCCCCCCCCCCCTGTATTTTGTTGTTGTTTTTTTTTTATCATGAGGACGACACGTAATAAGCCGCGTCTCAGGACGGCGTTTTTACCCAGTGTGTTTTAACTGAAAACAGTGATATATTGGCCTGTCTAACTTAGCCTGGTCCCACTGTATCCTTAAACTGCTGTTTAAAGCTACATATCGATCTTCTACTGTTTTGAAATATAGCAGCATTACAATGGTATTTAAGGAAGCTTATTTACGACGTGTCCTTGAGATTTGAAGTCGCAGGTGACGATTGGTGTTCGGTCAGAGCAGATATTCCTCACCCGCTCTCAGTTTTTATATCTTCATATTTTCAGTTGAACCGGGCGGAAATATGAAGTCAAATTAGGTGTGAAATATTTAGTTTATTTAAAAAAACTGGAATTGTTGCTTTTGCGCATGAGATGGTGAAAGACTTTGGTTGTGTATATGTTGTGCCCATTAAAACCTTTTCCGGTGAAGCTGGTGCTGCAGTGCATGTCTATGAGAAGTAACAATAAATGTATGACTGGGACCGTAATACCGCAATGGGCGCTTGTGTGACTTGGCGCTCAGCTGACGGTGACACACTGCCCCCTTGTGGTGGGAGGATGTTACCTCCAGACCTGCTGTCCCTTTGCATGTCACCAGTTTCTGGGCCCCGTCAGGAAAATGAACTGGGGTGATGAAGTTGCAGTTAGATGCTAACCTGTCTTTTCTGCAGCTGGCTGGAAAGTGATTTTTACAGGCCTCGTGGTTGTGTCTGTATCCTCGGTGCCGGGTCGGTGTCAGCCCCGGGCTGACCTGGAAGTGTGGGCCTGCAAACTGGATCAACGTGCATCGGGCCGGCAGGAGAGGCAGTTCTGTGTCAGGGCTGCAATATCCCGGCCCCTTCGCATGCTTCAGCACGAGCCGTTTACATGATTAACGCAGGATTTTAGGTTACCGCGTAAATCCATACTGGCAGCACGTGGAAGCCGCCTGTGTCTGGGTGTCTCATTGCCCCTCTGCTCTCCCCCCTTGCAGGGCCCCCCCGGGTCCCAGCCATCTCCGCACGCTCAGCCCCCGCCACACAACCCCAGCAACCCCATGATGGCCTCCCACGGACAGGTAGGGGCAGCATGAGCCATCAGCACGCCCGTCACCCTGCAGTTCTCTCTCTCTCTCTCTCTCTCTCTCTCTCTCTCTCTCTCTCTCTCTCT